CATTCTTTTGTGTCCTTTATATGACATTGGCTGCCTGTAGCAGTAGATCTAGTATTGTTGCTGGCTCCAGTGGCACAGGACCAGCAGTCCAGACCTGCTCTACTGGTTATTATTGTCCAATCATCAGATCTTGTCAGTATCCTAGGAGCAGTCGTTGCACTGCAGCACAAAACTGTACTTCACTGGATGATTGCTATCAAGAGTCTAATGGTGGATATCTAATACGTATTTGACATGCAAAGCTTTTTGGATCAAAGGAGAGGAGGACTTTGTTTGAGCACAGGTTTGTCATATACAGAGGATATACATATGAGTTTGGTGGATCCTACAATACACAGATCCTGAATATAGCAGATCCAGAATACAAGTACTACAATGGACGACATCTCAACAGTAATGGAATCACAACTGATGGAACCAGTTATTGTAGTTATGAAGATACTGTAGAGTTTACTAACTCATGGACAAGGAAATACAATGTGTTTACTAACAATTGTCAGCATTTTGTTAAAGCGATGGTCATTTTTCTTCAATCGTCTTCATGCAATAAAGTACAAGGGAAGAATGAAATTGATGTTTCAAATGAGATTCAGAATATATTGTCAAATTGTTCAGTTGTGTGCTGTGGCTCTAATGGAGCCAGTAGGACAATTCCTGCCATGGGATTGATTTTATCATTCATTGCAATAGCTGTTATAGTTTTGTGAGGATTATAAATGTATATAATTCTTGTATCATAATAATTGTTCTACAATTGGTGTTTTGTTGTGAGCCTTGTTCATGCTATTAGGATCAATAGCTGTTATCTATAACTCCTTGTCGGGCTATCACGATTAGTCTGGTGCAGCCAGACCCCTTTGCTACACTAGACTAATCACAATGTTGCTACTCAGGCAGCTATATGCTTCAGTATTATGTCTTGAAAATGAAGTGCATTGTCATGCTAAATTTATGCTTTGCAATTTGCATTATCTCATTAATAATCTAATGTTATATAGGCAACATAGAGTAACAACAAAACTAAAAGCTTAGATAATAGAAATATTAATAATATTATCACACTGTGATAAATGTCAAATGTCATGTTCCATTTCTTCTGCTGTAGATCTGAATGCTTCGTATTTTTTCAAGATTTTAATCAAATTTGCCAGCACACCAGGTTGATCAATAGTGACACGAAGAGCATTGAGTAAAGAATGTGCCCTGTCAGCTGGTCTTCTTGCATCAGTCATGCAGTCTTGCAAAGTTTCTTGACTAATGAGCTGTTCAGAGTATACCTGCTTAGCAATGGCTGCTATATTCTCAGGTATCATCAGCAAATCAGAAAGGGCAGCATAATGCTTTCTGAAAATTTCCTTAGAATCTTTTGGAGATGGATTGATGATATCTAAAATTAATAACAATGCAAATAATTTTTAGCTATTTAATTTCCATACCCATCGACAGAACAATATTAAACATTGTATTGTCAGATATGATCCCCTTGAATGTTACAGGATGCATTAATTCAGAATTAGTATTGCCACCAGGAGTAGCAGTAATTGTGAAACGGCATTGAGGAAAACATATAGGATTCATGTGTCCATACTCATCAATTGTGCTTCTACTGACCTATAAAATTGGATATATCACTTCATACAATGGCAAATTCAATTAATAAGCTAACTTTTGTGGGATTTTCCTGATGAGGTCTTATTGACCAACCTTCACTGCAGTTCTCTGTATCAGTGTGTATCTCGATGGAGTCGATACGTCCATCAGTACTCTCAAACTTAAAGAACAATTCTTTGTCACTTTTTGACTTCTTAAACTCATTTTTCATATACTGCACAATATCAAAGTCATAATACATAATCGTTAACAGATACCATTTTTATTGCATTGAGATCTCTGCCAAATAGAAGCATCAGCAACCATTCTCTTCCAAGCCTTTTATTCTCATACAAAGGCTGAGCAACATAGTACCATAAGACAGGCAATGCATCTAAATTATTTTAAAAAGAATGTAAAATCAGGTGATTACAAATCATGCCTTGTATGAAAGGATTCTCATCTTCCATAGATTGAGGAGATACACTCTGTCTTGAGTGGCGCAATTTTTTAAACCAGCCCTTAATGGTTTGGACAATGGCCCATGAAGAAAATTCAGAGATGAGTATACTGCCATATCGAGAACCAACTGGAAAACTTCCTTCATCAACTGGTTGAAATTTAAAAGGACAGCAGCCACTAGAGGAAGTAACAAAGCTGAGGTAACTAGCATGAGAATGTGTTTCAATTGAAACACAATGCTGTATCTCTAGCAGAACTGGTTTCAGTAGTGGCTTGGAGACAGTTATAGTGTACACAACACTGACTAGCTCAGAATCCTCTGGTAATATAAACTTTCCACCAACAAGAGCAGTAATGGATACTTCAATGGTTTGAGAAGTTGGAACAGCTCCTTCTGGTACTGTTATCCTCAAACCATATTCTTCCCAGTTGAGTAATTGTGGAACATCATTTTTAAATTGAAATAACTTTTTTTCGACAACATGTATACCTTCAAACTGATCTACAAGAAACATTCCACAAAATAAATTATGACATCATACCTTCTGAAAGAGTCGGAGAGTTAAACTGCTCATTGGTACTTTTATTGATATTCTGATCTGCACAATGATCTTCTTTTACTATTTTTGATTGTGTACTGGCAAAAACAGTGTCATGTTGTAGGTGCTACAATATCAATTATATATGATAACAGTATTTATAATAAATTGCAATCTATTGTATAACAAGAATTGATAAAAAAAATAATACAAATCATAAAAATAAATTATTATTAATTGGTTCAGAAACAGACAGATTAAAAGATTGGAAGCTATCAATAACACACATTATATTACTTACTCTCTATTGTGTAATAAAAGTAACAGTTCAAGTATCATTGATTGGTAGAGAAAGACAGATTAAATTATAAAAATGTAACCAATAATACACAATATGACTTACCATCTATTGAGTAATTAAAAAAGTAATAATAATAATAACAGTTCAAATATCATTGATTGGTAGAGAAAGACAGATTAAATTATAAAATGTAACCAATAATACACATTATGACTTACTATCTATTGATTAATAAAAGAAACAGTTCAAGTATTGTTGATCAGTAGAGAAAGATGGATTAAATTATAAAATGTAAAACCAACAATACACATTATGACTTACTATCTATTGTGTAACAAAAGTAACAGTTCAAGTATTGTTGATTGGTAAAGAAAGACAGATTAAATTATAAAAATGTAACCAATAATACACATTATGACTTACTATCTATCGATTAATAAAAATAACAGTTCCAGTATCATTGATTGGTAGAGAAGGAAAGATCAAATTATAAAATGTAACCAATAATACACATTATGACTTACTATCTATCGATTAATAAAAATAACAGTTCCAGTATCATTGATTGGTAGAGAAGGAAAGATCAAATTATAAAATGTAACCAATAATACACATTATGACTTACTGGCTAATGAGTAATAAAAGTAACAGTTCAAGTATCGTTGATTGGTAGAGAAAGACAGATTAAATTATAAAATGTATAACCAATAAGACACATTTATGACATACCATCTATTGAGATATTAAAAGTAACAGTTTGAGTATCATTGATTGATAGAGAAAGACAGATTAAATTATAAAATGTAACCAATAATACACATTATGACTTACTATCTATTAAGTAATAAAAGTAACAGTTTGAGAAT